ACATCGATTGGCTGCCTCCCCTGCCTGGGAATTGAACATACAAGCTGGGCATGTGCCCTGATTGGGATGGAACCAGCAACCTTCTGGTGCATGGGATGACAATCAGCCACCTGAGCCACACTGGCCAGGGCACGTAGTCATTTTTAAATGAAGATTTGGAATCAGAGAAAACATTCTTAGAATTGCTCTAATTCAAATTCAAAGTAGGTTTCAAAAACTAAGTCATCATGGGGAGTGTTGGCGGGAGAAAGAGATCAATCGAAGGACTTATATGCATGCATGTAAGCATGGCCAATGGACACAGACACGGGCGGGGGGTGGGGTAAGGGCATGTGCTGGGGGGTAGGGGAGGATGGGGTAAGGTCAATGGGAAAAAAAGGAGATATATGTACTACTATTTATAATACTTTAGACAAGAAAATAAAAATAAAAATTAAATTCAATTAAAAAAAGTCATCATATGTGGATTTATGTGAATAGCCTTTCAGAAGCTAATTTTATTGATTTTTATTATTTCTAGTAAACTTTATGAAATTCTACCACAGTGTAGACTTTCAAAGATTTCATTTATATGTGAATATTAAAAAGAGTTTTAAAAGAAATTGGTTCCACTGTTTGATTAAATATGACAAAAATCTTTCAAAAGGTATTATTTCTTTAAAACCAATGATTAATCTCACTTCAAGAACCTTATGGTTTTTAATATCAAAACTATACATTTGGCATTAAAAGTTATTCAAATAACTTTTTGGTATTATCATATTATTGCAGCAAAGTTTATTCTACTATGGAATAAAAGGCACTGGACATACCACAATATTTTTGTCTAAATTTTAAATTAAATATTCAGAATTTTCTCTATTAAGAAAATGAGATCAATATATCATGAATAAAGTCACACTTTATCTAGGAGAAAACAGGCTTGATATTTATTTCAGAATATATGGATTTGTGCCTTGCTTCCTCTGGTAACAGAGTTGCACAAAGTACTATAGATGCTTTTCATGAGCTCACAGTTGTTGACAGAGTAGAGAGAAGCAGTGGTAGAGACATGGAATAAAATCTCTAACATGGAATAACTATACTATACACCAAGACCGTATGTTTTAAGAACTAAAACATGATATTTAATATATTTATTTTAGTACAGGAATAAACACAAAACAATTCACAAATAAATGAAATTGTACAAAAGGACAAAGAACATCCAAGATGAAGGGCTGGCAACAGTGTGAATAGAGGCAACAACAAAGAAATTTGATTGGTTTAAGAGGCAGCTGAAGTTACCTGTGTTGAAGTGAATATTCTCATTCAAGAATTATAAAAGAAACTGGGATTACATAAATTAGGGTGAATAATTTGTAAAGTGCTGTAAATATTGAATGTTGATCATAATAATAAAAGTTGGGCCCTAGCCGGTTTGGCTCAGTGGACAGAGCGTTGGCCTGTGGATTAAAGGGTCCCAGGTTCGATTCCAGGCAAGGGCATGTACATACCCAGTAGGGGGTGTGCAGGAGGCAGCTGATTGATGTTTCTCTCTCATTGATGTTTCTAACTCTCTATATCTCTCTCCCTTCCTCTCTGTAAAAAATCAATATGTATATTAAAGTTTGCCCTTGTTTTATATTGATGCAATAGAGCAAAGATTTTTTGAACTACTATGCAATACATATGTGATGAAAAAGACAAATAGCATCTGAGCATTTGGAAAACATGGGATTGTGATCATGAGGATATAAAGTGTGTTTATTGCATTGTTAGGACACTAAGCAAAGATAGGAGAAAAAAGAAGTAAGATAAAATTCAGAAAATGATGCAATAGACAAAGAGTGAAAGAAAACCAAATAGATAGGAAATGGAAGTTTTTTTAACACTATATGTGTTCATCTACTATTTCAGACTATTAAACATCTTTTTGAATGTAGGAGAAAACACAGACTAAAAAATAATAAATCAGGGAATCTCAAGACCATTGCTGTCAATTCAATATCAAGGCATAGTTTACTGGAGAAAAAGAGTAACATGATCATGATTATAAATGTTATAAACTATTGTACGTATATTTAGAAAATATTAAGAATCTCTTCAATGAAGAAAATGCTCATAATAGAACAGCACAAAATAAGATAAATGCACTTCAGAATTAAATTGATCTTAACATACTGGGGAAGAAAAAAAAACACTATTAAAAGTTTACCTCAGACCTTGAAAGCAGGAGTCCGAACATCATAGAAAATTTTCTGCAGCTTGTCAAATCAACCTCCATAAAAGAACATGGCCCCTTGGAGAGCAAGATGACTTTTACAGTTATAAAAACATGTACTGAGGAAATAGACTGGGCAGATTTGTCCTTTCCATCTAGTTTATAATCTAAAAGCTTCCAAAAAATCCTGAATAATGTCATCAATCTTGTGAGTATGAGCTACTGTATATCATATCAGCAGAAAGTCAGCAGAACAGGTGGCTGTCAAACTAGCAGTATCTAGTGAAGGACAGAAACAAATTCTCTGCAGAAAATTACAGACAAAATGTTGGAAAAGTTCATTACAGATATACGTGTTTTCTTCATTTAAAAATAAATACATGTATATTATAATGACATAAACACATATATGTTTTTATCATGAGTTTATCACTACTAAATATCCATTCACAGATATGACTTATAATTACTGACATTGTTATGTCTTTATTCTTCAATTCTACATATATCCCTGAAAATAACTTAAAATATATTCTCAAACACAGTGTTTCAGATGTTTTAATTCCCCCGCTCCCTCAATCAAAACTAAGGAATAGTACCTTGCTCTCTAACACTCCACCTTTTATGAAAGAAATAAGAACATGGCAAAATGGCAGATT